AAGCTTTAACATGAGAGTTTGTAACATCTCAATCCTAGATGTTCTATGCTATGATATATAAGTAGAGTTTCAATCCATACTTTTAAGATGCCTATTGTAAGATAAAACTGTGAGATATTTAGATCAAAGTGGATAATACCTCGTAAATTGGTACAGATCTCCATAATAAACCTATTGGTGTGTTTTAATAGAATTTGTATTAGTCTTCCTCTTTCTGATTGTTCTACAAGCTTTGTTCTAGGGAAGAGCATCTCAGGCAAGAGAAAAGCTTGTGAAGTGAAAGCCAAATTCAATAAATTAACATATTGGAATCATGATAGTCCTCCTTCAAAAGATGATCCTTCTTGCGTTCTTTCCATTGGTTTGTTCTTGCAGAAGTTGTAAGTTTCTCCTTCATATGGGTGTAGACATCGATTTTGTCCGGGTCTACTGTTTTCATTTCAATTTAATAATAATAATTTCAATAATAATATTAATAATAATAATAATAACTTTAAAATATAATAATAAAAAAAGAAAAAGAGACAGAAACCAGAATATTGGTACGATGTCGCTGTCGCCCCCAATCAGCCCCCTGTTTAGCCCACCTACAGCCACCCTACAGCCACCCAGATCTCATTATTTGAAGCCCTTTAGACTCTCTCTAAAAAAAAAAAGGCCTATTCAATCCACCCCTACGACAAACCCTCGAGCTCAAATGAACTGCCTTCCTCAAAACACTTTCAACAACCCCAAACAGAACTCCCATCCTCATGCATAAAAAACTTAAATTTCAAACCCACACCCAAATACCTAAACCAAAGAAAATAGAAATAAAAAATAGACAAACACAGTTCTTTCCGTAGGAAGGAACCTAGCGCCACGCTACCTGTAAAAGCAAAAATCATATTAGTCTCTCTTTAAAAAAAAAAAAAAGAAGACAGAAAACTTCAAGCCCCGATCTACGACGATCGGGGCTATTTCTGGTAAAAACAAAGCCAGATCCGGAAAGAGAACGAAAAAAAATTTTTTAGGGTATTTTAAAGGTTTTCTGGCCACCGACGATCACCGACAGCGCCGTTGATGGTGAACCAGGTGGCGACCGATGCGACGGTTCGACGACCGGATGGCGAGGAAGCTCTAGAGCTCTCCTCTACTTTTTTTTTCTGAAAAAGAAAAAGACTGAAACAAAATTTCTTTTTTCAGTTATATATAAAGGTCTAAAAGCCAAAACGACGTCGTATAGGGCAAGGGAAGATCCGCGCGTGGACCCGGACCTGACCCGGGGTCCGCGCAACCGACCCACCAACCTGGTTCCTCAGCAACCCTGAACCGATTTGATCGGACTAGACCGAGTAGCTCCTTAGACTGATCCGAACCGCTCTTCAACCTGCTCAACCGAATCGTGCATCGAACCGACCCCTTTTTGATCTAACCAAACCGTCGTTGACCAGTCCGGTTCAGGTAAAATTTTTTTTTTAATTTTCTAATTTTTTTTATATTATCATATTTGTTATTTTAAGTATTTTTATATATTTATACATGATAAATTTTTAAATTTGTTAGCATAAATATTTAATTATTTTAATAATAATAAAAATGAAAATAAGTAAGATAATAATTAAAAAATATATATTAAAAATGCTTTAAAATAATAATAATAATAATAATAAAATAATTTTTATTACTTTCATTGCCTAGATGTTAGAGGGAATAAAAACATATTCTTAAAAATAATTCCTCCTAAATGTTGAAGAATTATTATTAATCAATTTTTATAAAAAAGAAATATATGAAAAATTTTTAATTAATTTTTAAAAATCATTAAAATCGAATTTGCTCTGAAAATCTGCCTAGATTTGAAGATTTTTAGAGATATTCGTATTTTCTTAAAAACGAAACCTTAAACACTAATTCTTAAATTTCAAAACCTTGGAATACGAAACCTTTAAAATCCAAAATCCCTTAAAATTCGAAACCCCTAAAAATCTAAAATCCCTTAAATCTAAACCCAATAAAATCTCAAACCTCTAAAACTCAAAACCCCAAAAATTCAAAACTTCTTAAATCAAAACCACATACCTCATTTTTTAAAAAAATCAAAACCCTAAAATCTCTAAACTTTAAAATCAAAACCCTAAACCTTCAATACCCTAAAATTCAAGTTTTAAGACCCTCTAAACCTTAAAATCGAACTCTAAAACCCTCAAGACTCAAATCAAAACCTTAAAATCCGAATCTTCAAAATCTTGAAACTCTAACCTTTAAAACCTTTATTCAAGCCCTTACTCAAAACATCCTGTAAATCCTAAAGACACGTGTGAAAATCTCATTTGAAGTAATTTGTTCTCGAATACCGCCTATATGACGGGGTATTTAGAAAATTTTATTTTGTTAAGTCTTTTCACATGATTTTTAATTCGCATTAATAATAAGATTAATAAATAAAAAGTATAATTGTAAATTAGGATCTTAAATATAAACAGTCGCACCTAAGCTCTGTTTAGATGTTGGAGAGTCAGGGTGGTCTCATTATACTTAAGAACCCAACTTTTAAATTGCATTTCATTTTACATGACATTCATTAGCATACATACGTTATCGTGTTATCATCGATAATTGTCTACATTATTCTCTCTTTAATTTACTGTTTGACGATAAAATATTTTATAATAAAAAAGAATAATACATTTTTTTAAAAGAATTTTTGTGATATTATAAAATAAAATATAAATACCAGTGCGAAAAAAATAATTCTTGGTACTCTGCCTAGATGTTGGAGAGTCACTAACAATTATTTTTTATAAAGATTGTTATTTCATTTTAAAGATCATTGTGTTAAATCTTAAGCGAAAAGAGTTATTTTAAAATTCTGCCTAGATGTTGAAAAATTTTAAAATAATTCTTTAACTTTAAAATTTTCTCAATATTCCTACATAAAGAGCTTTAGCAAAATTTTATTTTTTCAAATGAAGGGAATTAGTGTTAAAATTCAAATTGAAACCATTTTTATCCAACACTGAAAATAACGCGTAATTAAATGGTATCAATTTATGGGCGTTGTGGGGATGCTAATCATTCCCCACACGTAATCGACTCTCGGACCCAACCTGATTTTTCATAGATCAAAATTTATCTTTTTGATAAATTTTAAACTTGCTTTTATAATTTTATTAAGAAGATAAACTGTTGGGTAGCCAATCACACCCTAACAAAGATTAGTGACGACTTCTCTCATTTACTTCGATTTTAAAATACTTTACGTCTGACGGTCCCAAAACCGTTACGACAATGGGTACAGAAATATGTATTGATACTAACTATTTTGGCCCTAATTCTTGCTGTTGCATTCATTAGTTTATAGTCCTAGGAAAAAGGCAACCCTATGTATTTAGTCTAAAAAATTGTCTAGCCTGTTCAAAATTGTTCCATTCTTGATTAAATTGCTACACCCAGATAGTATCAATGTAACAAACTGTGGTTGTATTGACTTGGATCTCATTTTGTCAAGATATAATAAGCTTTATTCACTTGACTCTTTTAAACATTCCAAGGTTTTTTAAGGATGTTGGTTTGAAATTTTTGTTTGTGCCTTTTTTTTGGTCAAATTGAAGTTAACTCTGTTCTCCTTTTCCTCGCTGGGTAGGTTTAGAACCATTAGAGTGGAGTAAAATGATGAACACCTAGAATCCTGTATGGAACCCATGTCGAATGATGCTTGCCGTTAAAGGCAAGACAGGTACAAAGAAACTGGGAGGAACGGTGCAAGAGTAGGAACTAAGTTAAATGCATGTGAAGGGCATTTTTGCTAACACATGACTCACATTGGTTCTGTGCTTGTTTCCAAAAAAATTGTAGTAAAGAAATATATAGTTGGAGGAGAATAATATTGATCACAAGTGCATCTAGAACCAGAATATACTCGAAATCACCAGGAAATTAGGTATTTATTATTGTCTTAAGCATAAAGGGAAACAGGGCCTGGAGGAAACAGGAGAGGATTACGACAAAAATATGTTTCATTTTTGGAACAAATGCATGTATATCCGAGTTAAATAAGGTCAAGTGGTGAGAAAACGTGTTTTATTTATAAATAAGGTCGATTTTGACTGTGTCCTTTCTGGCAGACTTTTTACATTTAGAAATGATCACTTTGAATTTGGTAAAAAAGCCACCAAGTTTCAGCAAAATCCACCATGTAAGAACTGTCGGCAGAAGCTGCTATGTCGAACGAAGAACAAAGAGAAACCAAGAAAGGCAACAAAAAAGAAAAAAAAAAAAGAAAAAGAGAGAGAGAGAGAGAAATGTCAAAAGGAAATCCAATGAAATTTCTGTGTTATTATATTATAAGGAAATGCAGATATTACTAAAAGAAAATATTATGGTAATTAGGCAAAGAATTTTGTTGGTTGAAAGGAAAACATAATTTGAGAACAGGAAAAATATTGCAGATATTAAAATATAAGGACTTAAGGTTACATTGGATGTATAAGATAATGGATAAAATAAAATAATAATCATCTTACATAATATTTGATTTGTATTTGAAAAAAGGATAAGATTAAAAAGAAAATTAATCATTTTCTTGACATAAGATAATTTATTCCTCTCAAAGTAAAAAAAAAATTATTTTTTAATCCGTAAAATTTAACTTACATGTTTCATTATGCTTTTAAAAATTATAATAATATTTTAAATTACATAAACTCCGAAAAAAATAATTTTGACCGATAAATAAAATTATTTTATTCATTATAATTTTTGTACTCATCAAACATAAGATAATATTAATATTACTTAATATAATTTTATTCATATATTAATATTATTTAATATAATTTTATTCATAATATAATTTTATTTTATCTCATTATAGTTTCGTTACTCAAACACAATTTAATGATAATTGTATAAATCAACTTGATTACGAAGGATTCTTTAAACAAAAGTGATTGGTGTACATGGCCACGCGCAGAATCAAGTTCTCAAATTGACAGCCACTATGCTTTAATACAAACATTAACGTCAAAACTTGAGCTGTTGAAGAATAAAATTGCACTACCTGCAGAAAAACTAAAATATATACGAGCGGATGAACATTGCGTGACAAAGAAATACAAGCAAGCAAAGATGATAAGCAGAACAAAAAGGGAAAAAAAAAAAAGGAATTGCTACCTAAAGATGTGATTCTTTCAGAAAAGTTAACAGCCAAGCTTACTTGATTCTTTTCGTTTTCCACTTCGGTGTGCTTTCCTTTGATGGGTCATATTGATGAATGAATGCAGCAAAAATTCTTTCCTACCATCCCTCTTCTTCCTATGTTATAAATTAAATTAAGGCTCACCCTCACATTCATTTCAAAAATCGTAGCCCTTTTCACCTTCACCTTTAGGACCAAAACATATTAGCAATGGCTAGCAAGCCTCATCACGATGCAGAAGCCGACGCTATATCTCGAAAAGAGGTACTTTTATATATGGTGTTTGGTGCTCAGGAAAATCGGTTTCAAAAGTTATTATTTTTCTTATCCTGTGTGGTATGTTGATAGTAACAAATGTCTAATTCCTGACAGAATCCGGAACGATATACTTTTAAACCCAGAGCATTTAACATTGTATGGGGAAACGACAGTCGCTACTGGCGGATTCCTCCTCGCTCAGCATTATCATCAGCATCATCATCGACAACGTAAGGAATTTATTTTATATAATTAATTTGATATATTGTATTAAAATTTTCTTTATTTATGTTCATAAAGTGTTACTACAATTCTTATTGTAGGAGCAATGTTGAAGAATTTGCAGAACTGGTTCAGGTGTCGTGGCTTGAAGTAACCGGTTCAGTCCCACTAGAGGCTTCAACTAATTATCAAATTACCTTCAAACTAAGCTTCAAAGGGGATGCATCTGGTTGGAGCGGGTCCCCAGTTTTCTTGATGGCTAAGGTGGGGAAGAAGGGAAAGTACAAGTGGAAAAGGCTCAAGGAACTGGAAAACCTCCCCAGGCAACCCACTGAAGTTCCAAATGAGCCATTTGTTGTCGAAGTTCTTGGAAATCCACCTGACAAAAGGCTTTATTTCGGCTTGTACGAAGTGTGGACTGGCAAATGGAAGAAAGGTTTGAGAGTTCACGAAGCAATCGTCAAGAAAAAGACTTGAAACAAATATATATGTCAACTGATCACTTCACTTCAAATCCAAGCATTATTTTAATGTTGTTATAATATATATATATATATATATATATGTGCTTTAGGTGTGCGATTGCTCTTAGTTTGTTTTACCCTGGAAGGGAAGGTCATGAATGATTAAATGGTTCTGAGAAGTGTAAGTTTCCTTTACTTGCTGGAATAATAATGGCCACATTACAGTTACTTTTTTCCACCAGTTTTGATGGATCATATGAATAAATGGATGCACATATGAGGCTTTGGGTGATTTGGGTGATAAATATAGATTCCAAAACATCATATAATATATATGGAAACTGAACAAAGATAAAATTTTCGCCAAAAAATTCTGAAATAAGTTTGCCAAAATGCATCATTCCAATATCCCATTCCAAATAAGCTGTCACCAAGCATATTACGACCAGCTGGTTGAATCTGTTTCAGATTGACTGGCTTGATTTGTTTTGTTTTTTCTTCTAGTCGCACGTGTGTAATCTAATTTAGCTCGGTTCTTTGATCTACCAATTAATGCCATTCTTCTTTTCTTTTTTTTTTTTTTTATTTGAGCAGTGGCAATTCATCGGATGCGATCAACCCAACAAGCTTGCAGATGATGAAGGGAACCTCTAACAAAAATCAACTTCCTTACATTTGGCTTCTCATCTAAACAAATTGATTTCTGAGTTTTCAAGCTGATGATGGCCAGTCTTTTTTTGGAATAAGCAGCAGAGAAAGCTTGACCCTGGATATTAACAATGTGACAGATTTGCCCCACTTTCACATTGTCTGATTATCTCAATAAAATTTGACATTAAGAATGAGATAGATTTCCTTAGATCAAACAGTACTAAAATGAAGAAATATAGAACAAAGACTATTAAGTGACAAAAGAGTGTCCAAACTAAAATATATATTTTATTTTGTAGAGAATGGAAGAAGGAAAGGGTTCTATCCTTCCTTCATTATTTATTATTTATTATTTTATTCAATTCATTTTTTGTTTTTTAAATTTTTTATTTGACTTTTTTGATTTTATATTTTTATTTGATAAATTTTATTAAAAAAATAATTAATAGAAGTAAGGATAATAAAACAATATGTATTCAATCGGTTTTGATTCACACTCATCTAATATAAGTGCCTTTTTTTTTTTTTTAAATTGAGATTGGATTGAGTTTTTTTTTTTTTAAATGAGGTTGGATTGGAGACGAATATAAAGTATTCCATCTATCTTGGGTGTCCATAAGGCACCTGTCTCTTTTTTTTTTTTTAATTTTTTATTAGATAAATTTTATAATGAAAATATCAATTGAGATAGAAGTGAGAAAATAATCCGTATCAAATAAGTTTTGATTCATTTTGATTCAATTGGTATTTTTTTTTTTTTAATTTGAGATAATTGACTTGAGTTTTTTTTTTTTAAATCGAGCTCAAATAAAACTAAAATTTTGGGTATTATACCTTAACCTTGATATATATATAAATATATTTTTATTATTTATTTAATTTTATACATATATAAGTATTTTACTAAAAAATAGTATTTAATACTTTAATTTAATAAATTCACATGTGTCTTTTTTTGTCATTTTTTTAAATTTTTTATTATATAAATTTTGGAGAAAAAAAGTCAATGAATGTAAAGATAATAAAATAATCTATATATAGTGAGTTTTAATTTGTCGTAATCTAATTAATACATTTTTTAAAAATAAAAATTGAGCTAAAATTTATTTTTTTCAACAATTTGAGTCAAGTTTAAATTGAATTTTGAGTGCTTCGCCTTGATCATTCTTAAAATATATAAAAGAATATATGTATTATTTATTTAATATATATTATATTTGTAGTATATTAATAAAAATATTATTTAATATCTTAATTTTATATAAAATTATATTTATGTATAATTAAGTTATAATTTATATTAAAAATAAATATATTTATATTTATTTATATATTATCATTCATTAAAATTTAATATTAAAATTTTATTTTTCTCATGATAAAAATATAATTTAAAAAATAAAAAATAATTCAATAAGGAAACGTGCGTCTAATTCTAATATTTAATTAATATTAGGGGGGAAGCAAAGCAGGCTTGCCTTCTGCTTAGGTGTGTAATTGAGTTGAGTCGAGTCGATATAGTGAAAAGCTCGAGCACAAGCTCAACTCATAACTTGGGGCTCAATACTCAGTTCGAACTCGATCGAGTTTTATTTTTCAAGCTCAAGCTTGATTCGTGATCGAATTCGAGCTACTCGAGCTCGCTCGATTAAGCTCAATTAATATGTAAAAATAAGCTCAATTCGTATACTCGATAAGAGTTTGATTATTTATGCTCGAACTCGAACTCGAAATATTTTATTAATTAAAATAATAAAAATATATTTAAATATAAAAGCTCAATTAAGCTCGTGAGCTATTCGAGTCGGATATAAAAATACTCGAATTCGATTCGATCGATAAGTCGAGATACTCGAGCTCGAGCTCGACTCGATAATAATCAAACCGAATTCGAATTTTCTTCAAACCGAACGCAAATAACTTACGAATACTAATGTATTATTTACACATCTACTTCTACCACAATTCCAAGTCAAGCAGTGGATATTAACATATTTCAACTGTTTACATTTACAGGCAAATTAATACATAAACGACAGGCCTAAATTTTGACCAAATAATTTTAAATATGATGTTATATAATATAAAAATATAAAAATAATATGATTTAAAATTTTAATAAAAAATATATAAGATGGATAAAAATTAAAATAAAATATATGTTTGAAATATAAAAATGAATTGTGATAAAATAATTTTATTATTTTACACATTTAATATAAAATAAATATATTATGAATACATGAATTATCAAGTTTAGTAAAATTAAGCTGATTCAAAAGCAAAACTGTCGGCAAGGCATCTGATTTTTTTTTTTTTTAACTTTAGCATAAAGCAACTGTAAGATGCTGGTAATCTCATGTAAACTGCACGGACCACCTTGCAAAAGGAATATAGATATGGTCTGGAATGGATGGATGCCTTAACATAGAATAAAAAACTTTTTTGATGTAAAAGACCATGTAAAACCAACCTTTTTTAAAAAAATATATTTCTAACTATATTTCTATTCAAACATATAAAATTTTATTCCCATGATCTAGCAATTTACTGACTTGTAGTTTCAGTTGCTGATATGTATGAATATATACTTTTTCATTAGACCTGCTTAATTTTGTTTTTGGCAAGTTCATTAATTGTGTCTGCTAGAAATGCAGAGTCTTTCATGGAAGAAGGATAACTCCAATTAAAGATGGGGGTTTTACTGTCAAAAGAAATAGAAATAACAGTAGAAAATGATAGTATCAAGCCACAGGACCAGGAAAGCTAGGTCCAGCCAAAGGAAAAAAAATAGCAGAACGGGAGCTTATTGATGCGGAAGCCAGGGCCATGGAGAAAACAGAGAAAATACAACTTCCACATAACCATGAAGCCATCTTGAAAGATGCACACTCACTTGTCGATATGTCCTCCATGGATAAGTTGCTTTCTCAGCTCGGGTTTTCGTAAATCAAAAGAGAAAGGTAACTGAAAATGAACATCCCTGGTTTGTTATTCTCATAGTGCATTCATTTTCAGTAGTTCAATCAAGAAATGTTTCAGTATATTTGTTGCAGAAGTACTGGGTGGATAAGAAGTTTGAACGAAAACTGCTCGATGCTGTATGCAGGAGATCTCTCAATCATTTGGCTGAAGACTACCGTTACTGGCACTGGTCATACCAGAAAGAAACAACCAGGTCCATCCATGCCAGAATCTCTACTCGTAGTTATAGACAGTTGTGGCTAGCTGGCTTTCCTGATTGCTGCCTTTTTCGATTTTTGCGGTGATGTTTCCATTGATGTTGCCGAGCTTGTAAAAGTGTGTTGGCTACAAGTGAACGGAAAATTCGATTTAGTAAAGCTCTCACCGGGAACTTTGTATAGAGTTGTGGTCATAGTTACGATGACAGAAGAACCATTTGGATGGGGAGTTCCAGTGAAATTCGGACTCACTCTTACAAATGGGCAAAAGGTTGAACGCAGGGAAAATTTGATGAACAAGCCAAGAGGAAAATGGATAGAAATCCCTGTGGGATAATTTACAACATCTTCCAAACATGTTGGAGATTTAGTCATTGCTTTTCATGAATTTGATGCAGGCACATGGAAGGGAGGGCTTGTTCTTAAAGGAATTTTCATTCTGCCGAAGAACTAAGTTATGAAATAGTATTTTCTACATAGAAATATTGTAGTTTATACGTTCAGAATTCATCAATAAGGCTTTGCTTCCCTGCCTTTTTTCAGTTCATGGTTGCGTGGAACTCATTGGATCTGAACTGAAGCATTCATTCTGCCAACAAAAAAATGAGTTATAACATTCTGAAAGTAGCAAAGAAAACACAAACAAAAAGAATGTTACGACAAATATATAAGATTGAAACGATGCATAAAAGTAAAACCACAACTGTAACGGGAACTTCAAGAAGTTAATAATGGCCAATAACCGGCTGCACCAGACCATTACATGTTATTAACTAAGAGAAACAAAACTACAAATGCCAATGCATGTCTATCCCACCATTGGTTCTTTCCAGCTTGATACAAACTTCCACCATTTCTTTAAACCCTCTTCTTGAGCCTCCACAAGATATTTTGCTTCCTCGATGTCCTTGCTATCTTCTTAATCACATCGCGGTGGGTGGTTTGCTAGCAAAACTATATGGCTCTGCAACAAGGCACCCAGAGCAAATTTATTAAAGCATTCATTGTCAAGATTCCTCAATTAAGTTTCAGAAAGAAGAGCACATTCATGTAGAAATGCTTAATTGGAGTTTTAGCACGTGCATGCATGACAGAAAGAGAATAAGGAAACCAGCAAATGTGTATGTTGAAGATTTGAATAACTTTCAAAGTCATCCATCTAACCACTGTTTTCTGTTTTAAGAAATTGAAAAACAGTATTAAGAATGTGCAATAACCATAGGAATATATTAAGTTTATTATACTGTTTTAAAAGAAAGGACACTTTGTGTATTATATCCAAATCCATATTTCTCAAAAAATAATGATTAATGAACTAGATTATCATTAGCCACACGTAAAGAAAGTTCGTCTAAAGGAAAATTGTAACATTCAAACTATGAGAGAAAAACCTACTTGCAGCAGAGAACCTCTTGTTGTGTCAGGAAGC